TACGCTGCACGACAAATTAATGTTGTGCAGCAGATTATGATTGTTAGTAGACACTAAGCGAAGATTTTCGTGGTTGTTTCGATATTGTCGTTTGAAAACCTAGTTGAAACGCGGTTTAAACTAAATAGAAACCTTTCTCTTGCACGAAGAGCCACGTGTGATTTCACTTTATTGTCTCACTAACTGAGGCAACACCTTGACTCACTGTCACCTGGTGTTACCTGAATTCCGATCACTGACTCTATGTGATGGACTCTTTTTACGTTTGTATTCGCGTATATGTGCGATATACGGTCGGATACTGGTCTAAGATTCACACTGATTCTTTTACTGGTACTCGTTGTACTTCCTTTTAATATTTATACTTCTCAGAATGCCAAAGCAAAATGGATTTATTTTGGTGGGAGACGAAACTCCAAATCGTTCCGATTGGTGCGGGTGCAGCTAAAACTTTTCCCAAATTTCGAAGGAAAGGGAAAGCGCGATAGTGCGCTAGTGGGAGAAAGAGCCCAAAGGTTACGGGACCTGATTCGGGGCAGGTAGGCTACCACGAGGGTTCGTGGTGTCCCGCGGTGTCGAAAACCATAAAGAAAGGCTTTATGGCAAGGTGTTAACGAGCACGAAACGAGGATGCTCTAATCCATGTCGTGAACAACCTTATTGTGTCACTGAGCGTTAATCCTCTCAATTGTGACAATGCTTGAATGTCGAACAATGTTCTCATTAGGAGAAAAGGAATACTTTGGCAATCTGAAGAAGCAGAGAAATATAATAGCATGTATATTCCGTCGGATGGACGGAACAGTTAGATATAACAAAAATTAATCTAACACCTTACTAGGAAGTATATATGACTTTTGTATACATTCAGAGAAATCCGTTTAGCCTTACCACCTCTGTTTAGTAAAGATCTAAATGTTTATGACACGTGACAAAAGGCCCTTCGGTCCCAAGCGGGGTCGTAGGCAATATTAGGGAGCATTCTCAGTCTGTAGACAGTGCTCTTGCCATCAAGTAGAAAAGCGAACCTTCCTTGTGTCCAATAAAAGTTTATAGTTTAAAATAAGGATTATTAATTATTTAACAACCAATAACTCTCATAATCCAATAAAAATCAGGCACGAACTTTTGCAATCATCTAATAATACCAAAACAGAAATTTTTGTGTTCCATTTAACCCTTATGTCAGTAACCGGGGCACCCTTTTGAATAATTCTCGCTTAAAATATTTGATCTTCCAGGTAAAAGGTTTAAATCGTTGTTATTTCGCACATTTCCTATCCGTGTTTGCCTCAAGCTTAGAATTTTGTTATCAGAGAGCTGCTAAAATTGGACGATAAAGTAGACGACAATTCTGGTTATCGACATAAGGGTTAAGAAACACGAGACGACCTTAGTGTAGCATTGAAAAATTCAAGGTAACAATTTATTTTCCACAGTAATGTAAGAGAAAATCAGTCAGGATAACGGTGGTGAGCGGTTGAATAAGATATAAACGTGGGCGGTTAAACAGAGTGAATCCTTGTATTTCGAACTATACTGTACGAGTGCTGATACAGTTCTATCTTTTCTGAAAAACCTAGCCAAGAGGACCCCCTTGACAATATGGCCTTTCTTAGCCTTGAGGCAGAACTATCCCTAGGAGTGGGAAACGCAGGAGAAGACTGCACATGGCCCACTCAAGCCTTCGCTTTTTGGACTTTTCTAACAGTAACGTTCTACGTAGAAAAAATGACGATAAAAGTCTCGTTACCTTTTTATCCTGTCATCTACCGTTCAATAGTTCTATCAAACGGCGCTTATCGCGGGACACCCTGTATATTGATCGACTGAACGCCCCTTTACGTTCACTTATTATCATCGCTATCTCGAGTATCTCGAACACCTTCGAAACAATCTTCAGTGTCACTATAGTGCACAAATCAAATTCAACCGTTAATCGTGATCATCTGTCAAGCCGATCGATCGACTCGCGATCATCTCGAATTAGCGTAAGAAAAAAATTTTGTTCTAAAAAGTTTAATCGACTGGACTTCGTTAGTTCGATGTGCAGCGTACCGAGAACATCGTCGTGTTGCGTTATCGTCACGGTGTATCGGTACAAGTATCTACGATACATTCAATTTCAGACTTTATCGCGTTCTGCTCTCGTTTTTCCTTCACCACTGAGCTCGTCTGTCTGTCTTTGAAGAGGAGTGAAAGAAGTACGATTGAATAGACGTAATTAACGTTATTGCTTAATTAAATTAACGTTTTATTAGTTTCCTGTCGCTAAAGGTCCTATCTACCATCGGTTTTTAGATTTGAAATCCTTTTATCAGTTGCAATCTTGCTTGAAAGTGTCGTATCACTTTTAACAATTAAGAGAGTATCACCGTTTTCCTCCGTGAAATTTTGCAATAATCAATAATGAAATATTCATTTTGTTAGAGCGTGGAGGAGAAATATGACACATTTGGAATTACAATGAGAAATTCATCTGTGTAAACAAAATTAGTACTTTTTTGGCGATTTTGATTGCTGAATGCTAATTCATTTTCACCTACACTTGGATGCATGCTTAGGCTTCTGACGAAAGTAATGTGGAAGAACATTAATAAATACAAATAATTTGGAATTTTTTAAAAATTTGTCTATTCTTAATTTATTTAAGTTCAAATATTTTGAGTTAATTGTAGGTTGTATTGTACAGGGTGGGCCACGTAAAAAGGGCCTTCTAATTATCTTCTCTAGCTATGGTGGTACGAGGAAATTTTTATACATAATTTAAATAATTTCAAACGGTGAATGAGGGAAAGAAAGATCTGTTTTGTTTTTTTGTTCCAAGATCACCTATGCATGTTTAATCAGATGTGAAACTTCCTTTGAATTTTTGCCATTTCGTTGATCGAAGAAATTTTTATTAAAATTACGTATAAAAGTTTTCTCGTACCACCGTAAATAGAGAAGATAATTAGGTGGCCTGTTTTACATGGCCCACCCTGTATATTATTCATTCTGGAACAGCCAGAATTACAAGTTTCACAATCACAACGACCATCATAAATAACAAAAATTTATGTCAAAAGAGCTAACTTAAATAAATTAATTTCTAATTTCTCCTCTTTAAAAGTCACGGAAAACCTACTCACAGTCCTCAAAGATCGACATCGAAACTATCAAAATTTACTAAACTCGCTCTCACAAAACGTACTGTCTATCCAAAGAATCAAACACTCGAACGCACGCTAATAAAAGAGAACACTAACGCAGGTTCGAACGAAAACTACACCGATCGACCGAACGATGGAAAAATCATCGAAAAGATTGTGCGTAATCATAATGATCTCGTTGAATTGAGAGAAGAAACATTGGCTTCGGCAATGTAACGAGTTTACTAACCCCTTCGCATGTAGGTTAAAAGGAATCGATGAAATTGCACAGCGTGCGAGCGCCACATATGCATCGCTCGCACTATAGCCGGTGCAACCATCGTCGTAGGAATAGGAGCCGTGGTTAACCAGGAATCGCGTAGACCGCCCAGCGTTAACTGCACTAGCAAATCACGGCTTTGTTTAATTATTTCCACGAGAGAGAGCAGCTGCTACGTGATCAGAGATCGATGAAATGAAAAGGAAGGATCCCCCGATCGTGCGTGTTTGATTAATATTATTACGTTGATATGAGAGTTCGAGAATTCGTGGAGCATCGAAAATTGTGCATTTGAAGGATCTTTTGGCTGCTTCTACTGCGGAAATGAACGTCTGGAGAAAGTGACAGCGGAGAAGTTTGAGAAATGTTAATTTTTTTAGTTTCCTGGTTGGTTGAAGAGAGGAAGTGTAAAGTTTGGAATCGTCGATAGAAAGTGAAGAATATGAATTCTTTAATTTTCAGTTAGATGAAGATTGGAAGAGTATAATTTGGAAACGTTGGCGATGAAGAGAATTCTAGAGAATTTTTTCATTTTTTCATTGTTGGAAGATAGGAAGTGTAAAATTTGAAAACGTTGGAAATGAAGAGAATTTTGAAAAGTATACATTTCTTAAGTTTTTGATTAGTGGATGATAGGAAGTGTAAAATTTGGAGACGTTGGCAACGAAGGGAATTCTGAAATATACATTTCTTAATTTTTTGATTAGTGGAAGAGAGGAAGTGTAAAATTTGAAAACGTTGGCAATGAAGAGAATTCTGAAAAATATACATTTCTTTTAATTAGTTGAAGACAGAAAGTGTAAAATTTGAAGACGTCGGAATATTTCTTCCATAAGTACACTTCCACTGGAAGGCCTCAACACTAATAACTGTGTGATACCAGGCCGTGAAAGCTTCAAATCTTCGAGTGCAAAATTTGTTAATACTTCCGTTACAGAATTGTTGGAGAATTATGAATATTTTGGATAGTGAATGGTTAAATAGTGATGATTGAAGTGTACCTTATCTAAAGAGTTTTTACAGTTTCCAGAAGCGTTGGTTCAGAGACTACACTTCATTAGAACATTACTTAATTGTTAAAAGAATGTATCGGAACAATTTCTTTCCTTAAATTAAATTTATCTCGCATAACAAATTCGTAAATACAAATACAGAGTTGTTAAACTGAATACACGAAGTTCACATTTAAATTGGAAATCCGAGTATTAAAAAGTACTGTGTAAAAAATAAACAACATAAAAATCCAATATCCACGTTCTAGAACTCATTAACAAAAACCACACGCAAACACTCAAAATGTCTGTTAAAAAACGATAAAATTATTACAAATCCAATATCGTTAAACTAAATAATATCCATCGAACAGTTACCATGCACTATTCAAAAGTCACACAAAAATACAAAAAAAATACAATTTATAAAATCTACAAAACTACGGAAAAGCCAATCGATAAAGTAAATATCGTAGCAAACAGCTCTACACGAAAAAAATTGTATAAACGCGAAATCTGAAGCAATTACCGCTGGTAGGAAGTGTTCACTGACGAAACATGATAAAACTAAAAGAAAATCGTGCACGGTTGTCGCAGGCTCGCTTTCAGCAGAAGCAGCTACAGGAGAAGGAGCAGAAGCTGCTGCAGCTTTACGACCAACAACAGCAACGAGCTTATCAGGTGGTGCAACGAGGCAGCGCTGGTTCAAACGGCTCGAATCATGCCGCCTCTATCAGCCAGCACACCGTCACAAGGACCTCGAGCAGCAGCCACACAACCTCGACCTCGCAGGGTGGAAAGGTGAGCGATTCACCGCGTGGAAACTGTCACGCGGTTTCACGCTGTGCACCCTTCAATGAGCTAATGGCCACTGTTTCGCGACTTCAAATCGCGGCAGATCACCCTTGAGTCCTCCTTTGCATTCTTGCTTGCGAATTATTCCACGTGAAAACGCCCGTGATTTCCAGTCATAGTCGCCGATTCGTTTCAAATTCGCGGAATCTGTTGATAGCGCTCCGAAATTTCAGCTTCTTACCGCGAATTTTGTTGTGTTATGTACCCGGTGATCTGTTACGTCGGAAACGTTGAAAGTGAGTGGTCTATTCACTTTTAATACGTTTTCTAGTTTTGGGGCTCGAGGTTAACTTAAGTTCGCCTTATAATAGGTCGTTAAATTCGTCTTTTTATTGGCTGTAGTGTAGCGTTAATGGATATACAGTGGTATTTCTGGACAAGAAAGTCAAGTAGATTTCACGAACTCCGCTATACTTTTTGTATTGGGTTGTTCGGAAAGTTCGTAGCGAAATTTAAGCCGTCGTATCTCTGTTTCTACTTGACACAGTGATAAAAGTTAAACGGTATTTTTCTGGACGGTTAAAGGTGAATTCAACGCACTACTCAAATAATTCGTAAGATGAACAGGAATGGATATAAGTCGAACTATGTTCTCTGCATTGGAGCGAGGATGTTGAATTTTTCGTGGCAACGCTAGTTCGCCTTGGGAGTAATTTTAGGGGTGCATCGGGTTTATCTTCGAATAACGAGTAAAACACCTTTTGGTTTTTGTCGCTATCTCAATTAGAAACAGAGATATATCAGTTTGAATTTTTCTTACATTTCGTTACGGACTTCTCGAACCACCCGGTATGTACTTCCCCGTTCGCGTTAGAATAATTTGAGGAGTGCGTTGGGTTCGTCTTCAAATAACGAGTAAAGTACCTTTTGGTTTTTGTCGCTATCTCAATTAGAAATGGAGATACGTCGGTTTGAATTTTTCCGACATTTCGTTACGGACTTTTCGAACCACCCGGTGTGTACTTCCCCGTGCGTTGGGTTCATCTTCAAATAACAAGTAAAGTACCCTTTGGCTTTCGTCTCTAGCTTAATTAGAAACAGAGATACGATAGTTTGAATTTTGCCTACATTTCCGAGCCACCCAGTATATTTGTTTGTCAAAACAATAGGTAGCGAGTTATTTCAGATAGCAGTTCTTATTGACTCACCCGGTATATAAACGTTGACAAATGGAACGGGATAAGCTATCACGTCATCATTTCAATACCAATATTTCGGCTCTGTTTCAAGATAACGATCTATGCTTGCGCTCATTTTAAAGCTCGAGAAATGCTTTGTTATAAACGCAAAGTGCCTGAAGTACTCAGTGATCATTGTCATTGATGAACGTGGCGACGAATGTTTTAGGGAGTTTCCATTAACAGATGGTCAGAAGAGTGAATTTCTGTAGAGTTTATCGTGTGCATCTTTGTGTTCGCTGTGAAAGAAATGTAAGGAGATGAAATGTTTGGTAAACCTTGACCGCAATCTTGAGAATGGTAAAGTGAGCATTGCCAAACAAGTTTATCGGGAAGTGAAATTATGTCAACAAGTAACCTGGAGGTTAGTACTGAACGAAATTCGTTCTGAAAATTTGATTCAATTACAGAGACCAGGAAAAAGAAGTGGAATTATTCGCATGTGGGCAGATGTAATTTAAAATAAAACATATTTAATAGAAAATAAAACTACTTAATGTAATTGTCTCTCAAAACCACGCTGTCTCTACTCTGCTTTCCACACTGACTTTTCCACTCTGACTTGGCGCACGCATCTTCCAGACTCTTTCATTCTTTTTCTCTCTCTCTATTACTATTTTTCTCTCATTCTACACAGAATTCCCGGTAAACATTCAGTCACATCCAAAACCTTGGGTGGCCATGCACCCTTCGTTCACACGATATTCTAAAGTATAGTCGAAGGAAGAAATATAGCGAAGTCGTAAGTTAGAGCATTAGATGGCAGCACTGATGCAAGCAGCGACATCTAAGGTTTTATATGGCATTTTACATTTTTCGATCAGACCTGAATCAAAGCTAAGGCATACTTTCTTTTTTTTACGTGGAAAAAATCTTCAAAAGACCTCCCGGTCTCTCTAGTGGGAGGGTCCGCGGAATTGCGGAATTTTTACACTCTAAAACCACCACGGTGTCCTACCTCAGGCGTTGCAGAGGGACTCCGGGACTTCATACGGCCCTGACTGAGGTTTCAGGTCCTTATCTTCTCAGTTTTCCGTCGTTTCGCTTATCAACATTCTCGAGAGTGTAAATTTCGATGCCTGAACGATTTTACGACCTCGCTGTATTTCTTCCACCGACTATACTCAGTCCCAAACACTCTTCTTTCACACCTCTATCGCTCCATAAGTATTCTTCATTCCAGACTAAAAACGCACAGAAATTCTGTCACTCCTACAAAATTGTAACTAATCAACAACTATCTTTTAATATTAAGGTATCCCATGAGTACGTGTCGAATTTTACAATTCAGATCAATATTTCCATCAAACCTTTGCATTTGATAAAACAAAACCTAAGCAGCTTCTCGTTCCACAATCTTTTCCTATTATCCTTTCCTTAAGATTTTCATTCAACTATATTTTGCTTTCGCCACATGACCTAATACGTCTAGAGATTGAATCTAGCTTAACGTTAAGAACTCATTTATCGTTGATTACACACGCATACACGGACAATTAAATGTTGACTAATCGCAACAATTACGGCAATTCCCGTGACACAAAGGTGAGGCAGATGTTCGACGAGAGACGGCAGACAACCGTGAAGGGCATCGACAGAAGTTACCCACTGGAGCCACTGGAGAACAAACTGCGGAAGCAACCGAACGGAAACGGCGTGCAGAAGAACGGAAATTTGACGGTGAATCGACAGTCCGTGACTGTGAAGCGGGTGGCCCGAGCTGACGTGAACAGCAATTTGAACGGCGGCAAACCAGTCGTCTCGTATCACGAAGAAATCACTCGAGAATCGTTCGGTCCGTCTGCAAGCCAGCAGCAGGACGACGAGGAGTTCGGGAATGAGAACCACGACGCGCAATATGCGAACGGGAACCATCGAGGCGAGGTATAGTCGGCGGAAGAAATATATAGCGCGCTTGTTAAATAGGTCAGGAGTCGAAGTAAACATGCTTCGAGTGTTCTAACAAGAACACGTATAGAACACAAGAAGAAATATAATTCTATTTAATTCTGTATTCTAATTAGTGTAAATAATTATTTCGTAATTCTATATTCTAATTAGTGTAAATAATCACTCTACTCAATTTTATCACGTTCAATTTTCTCAAAGACAAAGTATACAAAGTCTTAAGACACTAAGGTTACAAGTTTCATTACTTGACTAATATTGCAAAATAGTATTCACACTTCTACGAGCTTTGCAATAACTAAAATTACTTAATAAAAATTGCAAACTCTACATATAAATGAAAATAATTTTGAGATCTGCTTATGCTTGTTAGAACATTAACCCTTTGCACCCGGAAGTCTTTTTGCTGTAGGAAATGTTGCAAATCGGATCTTCTTCGAAATTTTTTAAAGCTAACGTAGAAATAAACTGTAGAATTTTATTTCAGTATTCGATGAATTTTCTATTTCACTATAGCGAATAAATTAGAAAAATAGACCTGCTCTCTGTCTTGATTAATTATTTACCATGTGACAGTTATTCAATGTCGCTTCACAGTCACCACTCGATTGCAAAGGGTTAATACTTGAGAAAACAAATTTTACAATTATTTTATAACCGTCAGTTCTATTATTACTCGTTGAAGATTTAACATATGTAACGACTGGGTTAATACTGTAGGAAATATTCTTATCCAGAATTTTCACATTAACATTCCTGTCGCGTTTGGACAGACACGTATCGCGGAAGTTTTGGACGAGGACACAATGGAAAGGAATCGTATGATGGCGAAACTTCATCTGATGGAATACGACGAGTCGCTGAAGAACCGTGTTAGAAACGATCTCGAGAGTGAGCAATTCCCGGAGGACTTCTTAGTAGATGTTCCTGACAAGCTTCCAAAGCAAAATGTTACCAAGAAGTTATCTCAAGCGGAGGCCAGATTGGAACGTTTTAAAAATGCCAACGCGAGGCGTAGCAACAACATTGCGAAGAACTCGACCACAGTTTCAAAGAAACGATCTGACCCGATGTTTCCGTCAAAGTCTTCCTCCAGGTACGTAATTTGAAAAACAGGGAACAAGACAGAAAGACCGTGAAAAAATTTGACAAATATACGAAACAACGTGAGATGTGCTTTTTTTTCTCTCGAGCTACCGATTATGTTAGGATGAGAGAGAGCGTTGAATAAGTACTGTCGATGAAATTATTCAGTTTACTTTTTTGTATTTGCAACGATTGAAAATTAAGTTTGCGTACGTGGGATGAATTTGGTGACAATAATTTAACAGTCGTTCTCTGAAATTTCGAAATGGAAATTTCTGTCGCTGTGTTTAGGGAGTCTGCTAATAGTTTTCTAAGAGTAACAAGAATTTCATTGCATTTTACACAAGACAGCGGACATTAATTGTACGTACAAAATCTGGCAGTGCTTCTCGATCTTTTTAACGTTGTAATTAGTGAAATACTTACAACAAACATTCACACCTTACTAAACATTGAAACAAATGAGTATTGTCAAATTTAACATACTTACATGATATTCGTAATCGTAAAACACGTGTGCTATACTCTTACTTTCATCCTTATTATTATAGTTGTGAAACTACGAGGAATCAATTTTCTGTCGCTTTTTCTTCTTCCGGGGAATATAATCTATCCTTCTGTGAGGAAACACAAAAACGGTTCTCAAACTTGGTTCATTTTTATTTTAACTACAATATACAGGGTGGGCCACTTAATTGTCGTCTCTATTTAGCTAAGGTGGTACGAGAAAATTTTCGTACGTGATTTAAATAGTTCGAAAGGGTGAATGCGATGGGAGAAAATTTGTTCGATACAAGAAGTGGGAATTGAAATTTTAGTAAAAAAAGATACATATATTCCTATATAAAACAAAACAGATGACCGTAAAAAAAAAAAAGAAAAGAATTTGTTTTCCACCTTATTCACCTTCTGAGACCATTAAAATCACGTATAAAAATTTTCTCCTATCACCGTAGTCAGAGAAGATAATTAAATGACCTTGTCCATCCTGCATCTAAAAATTGAGAATTTTAAGGTGATTTTTTTAATGAAACGCAGTGTATAATAAGAAACAAAAACCTTGCAATTTTGTTACATACTTACACATACTCGAAGAAACAAAAATCACGAAACCACAAAACACACTCTAATCTACTGTCACAACTCTTTCTCTCCTGTGTAAAACATTTCCAAGAATCGATCGACAAAAGAAGAAGATCTAAATTAAAGTAGCTGATACCTTTCTGATAATCGAGTGAAAGTCTTGACAAACGCGACTTCTCTGACCGCTAATTGGCAATCAGTGCTAACAATCCGTCGCTGCTTTCGATCTCCGCACCCCCTCCCCCACTTCTCTCACCTGTCTAATTAATTTCTCGTTGCATAATTGCGATCGCTGACTAGGCTCGACTCGTTAAAACCCACGCAACCGTAGAGTAGCCTAATAATACATGCTATCTGGAAGTGACCATCCTTGAAGGAGGAACTTAAATGACGCGTTTCGGGCAGAGTAGAGAGGCGGAACCAGGCGTCCCTCACGCTTTTCGCCCGCAAGAAGGAAAAGACGCCAGTTCTAGAATAATTTACGTGTACCGCCTTAACCTTAGAGCTATCGCAGAAAGGATAATCAAACGAAGGAACATTAAACGCTCCATCATCAACAATAACAGCTACTACTCTCGCCAAGCATGATTCTTTTTAACGGAGCAGCCTGGAGAAAAGAAAGGAACGAGAATGTCCCGGTGAAACGTTCATTCCTCGAGAGATTCGCCGACGATTTTTCCCGCATTTCCTTACTTCTACCTCTTAAATTCTACGTGGCTTCACGCAAAAACTTCTTTTCTACGTAACCGATTTTCACTTAGGCATACACATTTGTCAAATTCATTTGGGACGATAAGTCGAAACGACCTGCTGCATTAAGCTTTGCCCTGCTGCGACGGAGAATCACGCAAAATCACATCTTCCTGGCATATCTCTCCCAGCTACTGCTCCGTCTTCGCTAACCGCAATCGCCGGCCAGGATTAACACGAGATCATGTGCGAGAACGATGAAGGAGGTAGAAATAACAATACTAAACGCGAGGAAACGAGAGTTTCTGATTTTTTGAGACGGAAGGCGGTACATTTGGTGTAATTTCGTAGCAAGGATCGAGCGATTAAGGCCAGGACCCGAGAAGTTTCGCGGAGAAGATCGAGCAACAGAAACGAGAGTCCTGGAGACGGTAAATTGAAGACTGTGACCTCTGGGCAGGTGGAGGAAACGATATCGTTGTCGGATTCTGAGAGAAATACGAGAGAAGAAGATGCTCCGCGGTTCTTTTGTAGAGAGTCTGAAAAATCTGCAACAACGTACGATATTGACTCGAGAAGTGCAAAAGAATTAGCCTGGAAGTCTTCGAAAAGTGTGAAAGGACGAAGCGAAAGTCCAAAGTTTCTTTCAAAGGAGTCTGAAAAATCTGCAACTTATGCGATCGATTCGAAACCTGTAACGAAATTGTCGTTCGAGTCGTTGCGAGAGAGTCCTAAATTCTTTTGCAAGGAATCGGAGAAATCTGCTACAACGTACGATATTGATTCGAAGAATGCAAAAGAATTAGCCTGGAAGTCTTCGAAAGGTGTGAAAGGACGAAGCGAAAGTCCAAAAGAATCTGAAAACTCGAAGTCTCCGAGAAAATTATCTCGAGAACCGTCCAAAGACAGGATAAGAAGAAGCGACAATCTTAAGTTCTTTTGCAAAGAGACGGAAATGTCAGCCACGACTTACGCGGCAAATTCAAAAATCACGAAGAGATCGTCGCCCGAACTGTCGAAAGAAAGAAAACCGCGAAGTGAAAGTCCTAAGTTACTTAGTAAAACAACTAAAAAAGCAACTAAAGAATCGTCTGAATTTTTAAAAAATAGGAAACCGAGCAGCGATAGTCCAAAATTCTTCTTCAGAGAATCCGAAAAATCAGTAGACTCGAAAACTCACGCAACGCTACCTGATTTTGCGAAAAACACAAAGAGTACTGCAGCGAAAGTGGAATCTACACATCGAAGAAATATAGCTAACAACGATAAGATAAAAGGATCTATGGGTATCGATACTGTAGACGAACACATTAAATCATCCAAAACTGGAACGATCAGCAGATCTCCTTCTCCAGAAAGTCTGACGAATAACCCAGTAAATTATCCAAAATTTGACAGTGAGAAACAATCGAAATCTATCTCCAACAAATCGTGCAACGTTTTCGATCGCCTTTCGAGAGAACGCAGTTCGAGTCCTCGATTTTTCCATCGCGAGGATAAGAAACCAACCACGAAAACGACTGTCGTCGTCAAAGGCAACGAATTCACCTCGAGACAATCAATTCTCAGCAAAGAAACTCTGAAAGAACGCAGTAGAAGCCCAAGAGTGTCTTCTCCCGAAGACGATATTCTAATTCCTCGAACTACCGAATCAGAATCGCCGGATTTCACGGGAAAGGCGTTCAAAAAATCCAAAACTAGTTCACAATTTTTCACTTCGAACTCCGAGAAGTCCGCGACCATCATGATAGTGAAACCGGAGACAATAACGAAGTCGAGAAGAAAATCCCCAGGTTCCACGGAGAAGGAGCAAATTTCTAAAGCGTGTGTCTCGAAATCTAGCAAAAATACACGTGCAGAGGCAAAAATGCCCGAAGTAAGCAACGTCGAAAATACGAAACACTTTATACGGAGCTCCGTATCGCGATTCTTCTCCGAGCAGAGCAAGAGAGCTTTAAGAAACGCGAAGGACGATGCGAGAGACAACGTTCAATCAACGGGAACCGATAAGAACTCTCATTTGTCCGGTGGCTCGTCACCGTTGTCGCTGAGATACACGAGAACGCCGAGTCCAACGAGGTCAGAATTTCATCGGGGGAAAACTGGGAAACCTGGCGGAAGGAGTATCGATGGAAGTCGTGACTCGTCGCCTAGATCGGGGAAAATCGTCCACAGCGGAGAAGCGACTCCGGAGTTCTTCTGCTACGAGACGGAAAGATCCGCCACGACTGTGAGCGTCGAACCGAGAGCCACCAAAGACATCGGCAAACGAGCCAAAAGTCCAGAAACTGCTGTAAAACCGAGAAGTCCTGTAAACGATCCGAAAAGTAGATCATCGAAGAGTACCGACAGCACGAAAGACGCCGAATCGCCGGATCGCAGAGGATCCGTGAATATCCTACGTTCGACGAAATTAATTCGCGAGGCGATGAAACGTCAGAACGAGAAAAATCGGGGCAATTGTGCTTCGGACAGGCGCGTGAAAAGTTTGCAGAATTCTCCCGGCGGATATGGAGACACGGGCGGAATATCAAACGGATCGAAACAGAGAGGAGCGAGGGATAAGGTGGTGGAGGATGTTGAGGCGGATAGAAAAGTTGACAAAAGAGCTGGGACACCGAGTGCTCGTGAACTTCCCGTTGCGGAATCGAGTCCTAAAAGTTGCACGTCCGCGGAGGTGGACGCGGAGATTCAAGAAATCACGGTGCCCGATCAATACGTGAAACAAGAGCAACTTTGGGGTACTTACTCGAGATCGGGCAACAAAACTGGTAGGGTATCGAGGGTCGAGAGGCAGTTCACGTATTCCATGAGCAAACCGACGAAAAAGAGGGGATCCCTGTTCGGAGCGGACGTTTTCGAGCCATCGAGGAGAGATCGAATGGATCGTCGTGATTCCAGCGAGGAAAGGAGGATCAGCTTAAGACGTACAACGGGAAATGCGTCGAATAGTAGTCCTTCTCCGACGAACGAGTCTGTTGTTCGGGAGTTGAAACGTCGAACGGGCAAAGACGAAATTTCGCGATCTGAGGAACGAACATCGAGTCCAGCTCGGTTAAAGGGGAAACGGACGAAGGAAACGACTAAAGAGAAATATGATAATTCGAAGCGTGGTAGTAGCAGTGGTTCCCCAACGAACGAATCGATCGTTCAGAAACGTCGAGCGGAGGAAAATTTGGTAAACGGAAGAAGCGCTCGAGAGCAAACACCGGCAAGTCTAATACAGGGGAAACAGAGGAGGATGAACGTTAAGGGAAGGACACGGTCGCCTCAGGCGACGAAACAAGCGAGAATTCTGCGATCGATGGAGCTCGTTCGTCAGGCTATAAAAGGGTCAAATTTCGAGGAAGGCGGAGTATCTGTTAAAAAAGGCCAGATTGAAGTCGCGAGAAGCGATTCTACTGCGTCGACGACGATCGAGGTCCTAGAATCGAGTCTCGTTTCTACGAAAGACCGAGCATCGCCTGGCAAGAATTACGAAAGAACGGACTCTGTAGAGTCGGCGCTGAGGCGTTTCGACTCGATCGGCACGGAAGCCGATTCGGAATCGGCTCGAAGCACCCTGGAACGAAGGAGAGAATCGACGGGGAAGAAAAGACAAACGGAATTGGGTGAAACGGAGGGATCGAGGGATGTTTCGAAGACGATTTCTCTGAAAGTACTCGACCGACCGGATGTAAATCTTCCTAGACGTTCTCGGTGCAGACTGTCGAGAACTGCTTGGAGCAAAGCTTCGACTGTATCCATAGAGCCGTGTTACAAAAGGGGGAAGAGTGGTAGAACGCAAGAAACGCAGGGTCCGAAAAAATGTAGGAAAAGCAAGGACTCGATGGAGATCTCCGGAGTCGCCGAAACATCGAAATCGCCCGCATGCAAGCGGAAGCTTTTCCAGGATGACGATTCCGGGGAGGAAACGGAGAGTGGAAGCTGGAAATCGAAGAACAGCTTGAATTCCATGAGAGCCATGGAACGTCTTTCGTCGAAGTCCAATAAAAACCAGACGGTGGAGCTAGTGGAAAGCACGTCGAGACGGTACGAATTCGCTACCGAGAACGAAACGTCTATGGCGGTAGGAATGAACAAAGAGGGAACGGATAAAACGTCAACAGGTGCAGATCGTTTTCTCTCTGTGAAGCAGCTGAGATCGATCGAGGATATTCGTAAGTCTATCGAGGGTGAAAGTTCGGATGGCGAAGCGAGGGGAATGTCGAGGAAGTCGGCGATCGCAAACAGCGCGGGGAGACGTTCGAGCGGAGTTGAAGCAGCGGGACGATCGGAGCCCCGTCGAATAAATATCGATGATCGTGGTGAAAATAGAAAAGTGATATCCTTGCCGGCTCGGTCGGGGAACAACGATGCTTTAGGGAATGCGGATCGTTCGTCTGTAAAGTGTTCGATGCGTTTCTCCAGGGTTGCGAAAAGTCCGAGTCCGGAGACAATGAAGCCGACGGAAACGGGCAGCCGTAGGAGAAGGAGCGTTCAAACGTCGCTATCGAAAAGTCCGGATACAGTGGCCAGGGTAAGTAACGATTGGGTGAGAGATTTATTTTCTACTCTGTATGGTTCGCGTTGCAGGAGAGACTTTTGCTTGCCTGTTGTTTTTTTTTTCCTTCTTTTTTAATTGGTTATTTAAAGTCGCATCAACCACATTTACGGGTTATTAGCGACTTAATGTCTAGGTTCACAGTTTGTTATACAATTTGGTATGCTTTAAAATTTTTTTGGAAAATTAGTAGGAAGAATGCACAGTGGAGTGTTCTATTTAGGCCAAAATTTAAATTTTTCAACTTAATTAAAAACAAAAACGTGTTTTTTTATAATGTTATTAAAACGAATTTCTATTTTCTATTATTTTCTGTTATTATTAATTATAATATGTTATTGTATTTTCATTTTCTGCGAGCGAAATCTGTCTGCAACCTAACATATCCATAATATTATGCAAAAATTATTTCAAATTTGGTGGTAAATTCTTGTTCTTACATACGTCCTTCTTACATAAGTCGTTCACAGGCCAAAGTAATTAACTCCACTTTCTGAATTTTTTTAAATTTGAGTGCCAAAGCACTTTTACTACCAATTCTTCTTAAGCGAGATTAAACGAGAATAAAATATGTTGAAAATATATTTTTGTAATTCGTAGAAGGGAAAAAATAATGAAAAGTGTTTTCCCATTGGAAAATATTGAGGTAACGGTGATACACGTCGAAGCCAAAATGTTTGAAGTTAAAAAACTAATTTAACGTCGTTATCTGTCGTCAGAAAAATTGGCAGCTGTTTGAAAATATTCGTAAAGTCAGGTTGAATATTTAATAAAATGACTGAAGGGAAATTATATTTCGTAAACAAATTACATGCAATATTCGTTGCTGCATATTTTTTAATGAAAAATATTTTTAGTTGCACGCGTTTCTATGTACGCGATAAAAGAGTGCTCTGTTCAAATAAATTTTACCATTACACAAAAATTTATCGACAGATACCTTCGAAAATTCATATGCTATTTGTACGACATTTGAAAATGTAGAAAATCTTGCTGGGAAATGTCCAATTTTTAACAATTTTTGAAAAAATTTCTTTTTACATTTCATAATAAAATTCTCCGAATAATGCAATATTACTTTAAAATCATATAAAAAAATACGATAGTGTATTAAAAACATGTCAATGAAAAAATTGACAGTAAAAATATGAATTTTTGTGTGTATAATCACATTTTACATTGTCGTTCTAAATTACCGAAATTTTACCATTACACAAAAATTTATCAAAAACGTCTCAATTAAAAAATGAAGTTTTGCATGGATTAAGTTGTCCGGAAAGTTCCTTTCGTAATTTAAACCATTGTATCTCTCTTTCTAATTGACATAGTAACACAAGTTAAACGGTACTTTCCTCGACAGTTAAAGGTGAATGCAACGCACTACTCAAATAATTCGTAAGATGAACAGGAATGGATATAAGTCGAACTATGTTCTCTGCATTGGAGCGAGGATGTTGAATTTTTCGTGGCAACGCTCCACCGCGGAAAATATAGTTCGCCTTGGGAGTAATTTTAGGGGTACATCGGATTTATCTTCAAATACCTTTCGGTTTTTGTCGCTATCTCAATTAGAAATGGAGATACGTCGGTTTGAATTTTTTCTTAACCCATTTGCATCCGTAAGCGGAGTATTCTGCGCATGACGATCGTCTCCTATCACCGAGCGCGGAATATTCCGCGAGCCGTGACTTTCTTTTATCACTGCCCGCGGAATATTCCGCATATGACACAGTTCACGTTTTGCTGCCAATCTGCGAGCATTTGAGCTATTTTCATTGCGTTCTTAACAAATTTGACTTTCGTAAGAGAGGCATCATCTATCGATGATTCGTTAACGCGATTGGCTACTAACACAAGATAGGCTATTAACCAAAATATATTATATTATAACTATAAGCGGCTGCTATGGTACTCGGGTGTCCGTCTCGCTCGACGGCTACATTAAGAGTGTCCTCTCCGCGTCGTATTCTGCGTTGCTCCGAAAAACCGTTGGAGCCCCCTCGTTCGACTTTCCGGGGAAAGGGCTTAGTTTAAGGCACCCTCAGGTACCCTCGCGCTTTTCTTCATGGGTGACAAAGTCCAGGCCACCACTTGGCCGCCGAAATCTCGCATTTCTTACACGACATACTGACCGGCATTTTTCCTTCACGGATACCCCCAACACTAGCAAGGGGGAACAAAACATCAAAGCGATGCGATGTTTGCGATGTAGCATTATGTATCGATCATATACGGCCGCGCGCGGTGATACGGGCCAACCGTCAGTTGAACGCCGCTGATGTCACAGAAACTTAAGGTAGAGTCATGATGCAAATGGGTTAAATTGCGAAACGAACTTTCCGGACAACCTAATATAATCGCGATTTCATTTCTTATCGCGATTTCATTTCACGCCCGATCTGCGCCAGTAATCTGCCTAACGTTTAAAAATACATGAATTTTCATTGCTTTCGTAAGAACCCACGTAAAAAGGTATGTCGATCATTTAGCGCAAGTGTTTGAAGCGAGCGCGTTTGCTATTACAGCGTCCGTCCGTCGAGTTGAAAGCTCAAGACGCGAAATCGACGAAACGGCCAACGCCTATGAAAGGCACAGAGCCAATTGGAAACAGGAAGACGACGGGAACGACGAGCACGGGTACGAGAAAATCGACGGATGTCGTCGATGGCGTTATTCTCGAGAACGGTCTGCATTTACGGGACCAAACTGCCGAAACGATATACGATAACGACTCGCCCACGACGAAGAAGAGCGACGCTTTTGTCATCGACTTCGACGAGCAACCGCCGAAGGAAAACGATGCGCCACTTCTACGGAAGCCACTCTTACGCAAACAATCCACCGAAGTGAGTAGCTGTTGATCAAATAAATACTGGGACGGATTGCTCAATGAACAGGAACGAGAGTGATAATAATTTCGTAGCTATTCTTTTTAACACTTTACTGGCTGAATTACCCGTTTTTTCTTGCTTTCAAAGTTATTATTTATCTAGCGATTATCGAGACTGTGATGGACAGTAAATCGAGACGAATTTTTATTCCTTTAACCCTTTCATGATAGGACGTGTCAGGTTGTCCCGTAAGTTCGTGTTGAAAGCGAAAAAAGTTTTAATGAAAATTCAAGGAAATTCTATAGCGACCACATAATGGTTTTCTCAAGAAAAAATAAGAAAAACGCTTACCTTTTCTTTTTTTATCAAATTTAAAGGTTTGTTGGAAATACTGATTTGAGTTTTAAAATTCGAGACGAATTTATGGGATGACCTGATACGTTCCACCGTGAAAGGGTTAAATAACTGCAATTTAGAGTATTTCTTGACAGACTTTTCAAGAATGGTAAGATATTCTTTTGTTGTTCTTGTACTATAAAATTTGTAGATTGTTTGCAACATTAGAGTTACATTGTTTTTCCATTGCATTTTATAGTGGAAGTGTAAGAGCAAATATAACAGGCATAGTCCGGGTCATGATATAGCATGATCGTAAAATAAACCCCGGAAATGCGGCACTGGTTGATGTCGCGGCACTTCAAAAGGTCAAGAGTGCCATAAATGCCATTTTTTTCTGTTTTTTAACTTTTTACGGTTATCTATGTTTTTTCATAGAAATGTATGTCTTTTTCTACTGTATGTTGTAGCGGACACTGATGTGCATTTAAACATGCATAAAAATATGACCATAAAGTGATTTTGGACTCTAAAATTTAAAATCAAACGTGCAACTTCCTTTCATTCTTTGCCATTTCAGACCCTTGAAATTACATATAAAAATTTTCTCGTACCACCATAGCTATTTAAGTAGCCTGTTTCACATGGCCCACCCTGTACATTTAACTAAAATACAGTATATTCTCCACAAGTGTCAGACCGCAAGGAAGCTAAACCTGACACTCGTAGAGTCAAGGACTACGTTTTCGAGCCTCGCGCCCGCCTTTGTAGTTTGCCGAACGTAGACAAGGACAGCGAATAAAAGATAAGCATGAAACGTGTGTCGAGGCAACCAAGCGATTTAAATATCAACTTTTTTAATTTTACGTTTTTTTATCCCGAAATTTTTCTTAACATATTGATGAGATTTTTCTGATGAATTTACTTATAGATTTACTTATTAACACGTTCACTGTCACGCCAGATTTACAGGTTGCTGTCAGGCGGCCACAAGAAAATACATTTTAAGCATAGGATTATAGTATTATGCTTTATGTCTAGCTAGCTATGACGTTCAAAATTTTTAGTTGACAACATTTATTTTATTTTAATTATTCTAAACATTTGAGGCACTCCAGTCACTGATGACCACCATGGCCATATCGAGGAAACAATCTAATGTTAATACTTATTGAGTGATTAATTTAATTTCATAATATATCGCTTTAGATGAATTACAAAAACAAATAGCTAAGAAATTACATTAAATACCTGTACACATTATCCGTCGAATATAGAGGGAGAGGCACCGTTTAGTTGCCAATT